AACCGGCAGCCTAAACACAACCCTGCTCCCCGCGGGCTGCTTGGCTGCTGCAGAGCCTGCTGCAGCCTCGGCCGCCCCTGAAATTAAAGGCTTTRGGAACAAAGCAGCTCCTTGCCCTTGGCAGTGCCCCTCTGGCCTGTCCTTGCCTCTCAAAGCCCCCCAAAGAACCCGGGCTCTGTCGTCATCCCACCATGGCCACCGTCTCCCTGCTGCCTCCTTCTCCTTAGGGAGGGCAAACATGGTGGGATGAGGCTTCCACGGGGCCTACAGGCTGATGGGRGGCCTTCCTGTCTGCAGCCTTGCCCAGCAGCCACCAGGGCCCATGGTCCCAGTTAGGATGMGGGAGCAGGATTTAAGCCAAGCCCCACGAGGCTGCAGGACACTATTGAGGGGCCCTAGTTGGCTCCCCAGCCTTGCCATGGCCAAGGGGACATGTTCATCCCGCTCAGTCCCACAGAGGAGACCTTCATCCCAAGCTGGCCTCTCCTCAGCCCTGCAACTCCCCCGGCTCGCAAGGTGCCACCTCTTCCCAAACACCCCATYGCCGTAGGAGGGAGCTCCCAGTTGCTCCTGGGATGGTCCTCCCCATTCCCGCAAGCGCTCCCAGTTCCTCTCACTTGGCCCTCACGTGGGGTGAGAACCCACCAAGCAAGAAAGAGAGACTTCATGGGAAGGAGGAGGGGAAGGAATCAGGGAGCTCCTTTCCCCAGGGAAGATCAAATTTGGGAACACCAATGTTTCCTCTTAAGTACTTTCTCAGGATTCACTTCCCTYGTCTCACCATGGCGAGGCAATGAAAGGCACATCCTTTCCTCAGCTGACTTCTCCTCCCTCCTCATGCACAGCAGCAACTTTAACATGGCAAATGAGTTGGGAGCAATGGCAGATGAGGACAAAGCTGATGGATGACAGCTCTCGGTGTGGGGAGAGTTCAGCTTTTGGAGATCTTCGGAAACCAATATATTATCCTCCTCCAAACTGAGATGCAACCCTTCAAAAGACGCAAGGGCAAAATGGCAGCAAGTCTCTCGTGCAGCCACAAAGCGGGATAAAGGCCTGTGCGCTGGAGGGACACCTAGTGTGGAGCTGCCCGGGGTCGGCCGGCCTGGCCACAGGATTAGTGTCCAGCTGGCCCTTGGCTGCCTGAGCCAGCCCTCGCCAATGGGAGCCTGCACAGCCTGGGGGGATGCCCGTGGCTTTGGGCTCCACACTTGGCTGCTGGAGCTGCTAGAGATGGGCAGAGAGGCAAGAACCCCCCAAACCTCTCTCCTGAGGTCCGGAGGAGCCCAAGGGCTGGGGAGCGATGTTGCGTGGTACAAAGCCTCAGCCCCATCATCCCTCACTTCTGCTGCTGTATTTCACAAAGAAATATGGGGCCATGTCTGCAGAAATGATGCGTGAGCAGATCCTGATACTTACCACCGTATCCTGGGTCTTCTCAAATGCTCYCAGAAGAGTCTCAGAGATCTTGCCTTTAAGTGCTTAAAATCAGATTTGCCCATTTTATCTTTAGGATTGACCTTCCAAAGACACCAGCTTGSCTTTTTGGAACAAAGGACCCTTTCTTTTTTTCTAGGAGTAGCTTCTGGGAATCACAGCAGTTCCTTGTGTAAAATCCTGAAAACMTGAGCTACCATCAGCCCTGCAAAAGCCTCCTGGGCCCTTCTGGTTGCAGTGAGGAAGAGGAGGAGTCTATGACATCACCTCTGTGCTTGAATAACAGCAGGAACCCAGGCTTACTAAGGGTGTCTCTGGTTCAGATCCAAACCTATGAAAAATAGGTTTCTCGGGCTAATTAAGAAATATTTACAGCAGCAGCAGAACATCAACATTGCAAAAGAGCATGGGCTGATCCTCAAACCTTGACTTCAGAGAGCTGTATCCTGATCAGGGTCTTTTACAAGTACCTGGCAAAAAAATAAAGGATTTAACCAAAGATCAATCCTTCTTCCGCTTTATTCTTAAATGCATTGAGTGTATACTGTAATAACACAGCCTCCCTGTGAAAAAGCGTAAACCACAACTCAAGCGAGCATACGGTTGAGACACAATCTATTTTAAATCTAAAAGAAGCAACTCCAGGGAAGGCATGAAATGCTGCTGTTTGTTGTGGCAAGCCACATCTCCTTCGCAAATGAAAAACTTCCAGCGCAAGAGAAACTCCCGTGTAACAACAAATAGGAAGCAACGGAAAGCGCTATCTAGCGCAACGGCTGCAGATGGATGAATCGACAGTAACAACCCATTCAAGCTGGCTGGGTTGCAAATTTAGCATGTCCTAGAAATAGCTGTAGTTGGTGATTTGTATTAAGTCGTACAGTTGAAAGCTACTTGTGTAAGAGGATTTCTTTGGGGTATGTGCGTTGAAAGACTTGCTTTAAGCACAAGGCGATTCAAGCATAATTGTGGGACCAAATCCTGTCCGAATTTTTCTCTGAATTGCTTCTAGAAGTTAGACACCGAGAGGGACAAGGCACCAGAAATGTGCTTTGACAGCAAATCAGCTCCCATGCACCGAGCCAAGGGCTAGAGCTGGCCAGGAAAGGAGAGGAATCATGGGGATGGAGGAAGCACGGGGATGCAGGGAGGACGAGGGAGAGATCGAGAGGGCAACAAGASGGCCCTCGAGAGAGGGCAACAAGTTGGTATTTCAACTTAGGCAAACAGCTCATGGAAAAGCAACACATGAAACGGGGACAGCAGAATTTCTTGAATCAGAATTACCATGGCAGCCTTCGAGGGCAGCACAGTGTCCACACTGAAACGCAGCCCAAGCCAAGAACGCCTCCAACGCAGGAGTGGCAAGTAAACGCTCTGCCTACCGCTGACTGCGCTTGCTTCCAGGCAGCAGCAACTGGCTGCAGTGATTTATGACTGCTGCATCTCCCCCAATTCAGAGGTGTGCGGAAGAAGGAGGTATCTGGCTCTGGAAGGAAGACTCGCCACAAAACAGCTGGCATCCGCTGAGGGGAAGGTGATGGATCTGGGGACATGCCAAACACCTTGGTCTAAACCAACACTTGTTGCACTCACACTGGGGTTAACATGCGCTCTGCAGAAATTTAGGCAAGACGTGAGTCTTGTCAACAGCCTTGCTTGTGCTTTGTAAGGAAACCAGAAATGCTTTTTCAGTGCTGTGCTTATGAACAATGCAAAAACTTGCCATAACTTGACGGCTTCTTTCCCCGCCTTCTCTTCTGCAAGGACACGGAGGCCAGTGCAAAGCCCATAAGGACCAGTGAAGGTTGGTGGTTTAGAGACTCATCTCCAGAGCTGTTCCTCTTCACAAGGGCTGTTTATAAGGCAGCTCACACTGCTGCAAAGCRGTGGGAGAGGAAGGACCCTAGATTGGGCTGAAAAGCGTCTACCAAGTGACAAGTGGTGGTGATACGGAGAAAGTTTCTTCACAATGATTCACAATTTGCTAAAAAAGAGGTAGTAGAATCCTTTAGAATCCTTCTAGTCCTTTATTTCTGATTGCATAAACAACTTCCCCAGGAATTGGCTGTAGGAACCATTGCAGGTTCACCCCAAACCGTCCATTTCACCTAGAAGCAGAGGAGGAGGGTTCACAGCACCTCTCCTTCCTGGATGGCTGCAGAGGCTGCGAAAACTGTGGCAGAGACRCAGGAAGAAGCCAGCAAGGAAACAGCAACATCTCCAGCTTTCAGTCATTGAGAAGTTGAGTGTGCAGCTYGACTCCCATGGCACCTTCCCAGGACTCTCAGCTGAGGATCTGCCCCTGGTATTTTCACTCTGGTCATTCATAACTTGCAAGCRAGAGCCCATGCTGGGACAGTGGCAGCTAAACACCACGGATGTGTCATAAAACCAACAACAAAGGCTGCTGCCCTGTGCAAGTGCTGATTCTCACCACAGGAAACAGCCACCCCCCTCTTATTTAAATCCAATTTTGCAGCAAGAACGCCCTACCTCCAAACAACAGAATGCAATGCCAAACCTGATGTCTTTGACAGAAACATCTGGAGACAYGTCACTGCACAGAAACATCTGGAGATGTTGACCTTGTGCAGAGAAGCACTCTGAGAGCGATGGATTCTTGAAACAAATAACCAGGGCAGGATTCAGCTTTCATTTACCTCCAATTAATTCCTCTATCACAATCAGCAGTGATGCGGTTTGCTCGCACAGGTGGAATGAGGAACTGGGCGACAACAGCTATTTCTCAACCAAAAATGGAAACCACAGGTGGCATTCAATTTGAGATGCAACCAAGTGTCACCTCCCAGCACCTTCTGCTATTTCCTGGAGGCAGCCTAGGAGGTGATCAGAGCACAAAGTGCATCCAATGGAGAAGGAATYCTTCCCAAACAGGGAGACTGCCTTTGGAGGAAGCATAATAAACACATGAGAGCCTGCCCAAGGACTCAAGCCACAACCATCCAGGCACCGAAGGCCAACTTCCCACTGGCTCTCACACAGCCCATCCTCGTGAGCCAACATATCAGGACACACGGTGGGAGTCAAATGTGGCTCTAAAGAAATATGTTTTGTTTAGGGCTGCTAGGGGAGCGAAATAAAGCTACTCAGAAAATACTCATTGCCAAAACTACAATGTCGGAGAATATTTGGACGGATATCAGAAGCTGTCCACGATATTACTAGGGGTGCTATTACTTTTGTAATTTCCCTAGCTTCAGTTTATTGGGGGTGAGAAGGGAAAGGGTCTTAACAGCAATTGGCACGAGTGCGGAAAACACATAAATCTTCGTTACTGTCAGTACGACGATACTTTCAGTAGGGCTCAGGCTTCTAGATCTAGATCCGTCTGTGGCTCCATCTGCACAGATCAAGGCAGCACTACATATTTAAATTCCCTTCGCACTCATCCTTATGGRTGTTGAACATTAAACTGCAGAGCTGGGCACAAACACACGCCGCGCTCTTTTTGCAATAGAGGTGAGAAATAAAAGGCACAGTTCCCTCTCCAAACCCAGCCCCAGACTCACTAAACTGCAAAGATCACAAATACTTCTTCCCTTCTTACTCTGCCAGTTGGGATAAATTGCTCACACGCACCATTTATACAAGGGAAAAAGCATCATAAATATTTTCATCCAAAAAGCATTAAAAACTGGAGGGAAAGGTTAAACAAAGATTTTACCCTCCTTTTCTACATCACATGACAGGAGATTTAGGTGATTTGGTTCGGTATCAGCATCCAATTATCCAAATGGAAACCCAAATTCGTTGGCCAATTGAGAGAACCCCTCAGCAACATCAGCACCCTGAGACGTCTTTGGTTTTGTTCTTTCGCTGGTATCTTATGTCCAAGGGGTCAAACCCCCTTTCTTTAGACCCAAACAGTGCCCAGTGGGGAGTTTTGGCCACGTAATCTGCTGCCGTGAAAGTCTTTGCTCCTCCGCTCCTTTCGTAGTCCTGCGCSAGCTCCTGGAAGCGATCGTAATTGATCCAGGTGCACCACTCTCCATTGATCTTGAACTAAAAAAGAACAGAAAAGAAGTATGTTGCCATGCAGAGGACCAATAAATAATACTCAGTTTATGCCAAGATAAGCCGCTGGTTACTCAACTGTAGTTTTCTTTGGTTTTTTTTGCATTTTCTAGTCACTTTAAGGTCTGAGGTAAAGCCCTCTGGAAGCAGAACATGTCCTGCCCCAGGTCTGACCCATTTTAATGCTGCTTTGCCATGATGAACACTTCCATGCTGCATCCCAAAGAGCTTTCATACTTGAAAGGCCTTGGTTTTAGGAGCTGGAAGAGTCCTAGCAGAGACCTGAAATTAGGGAGCAATACTTAGGTATTCCTCCATGAGAAGCACCTTTCCAAAGCCACCTGAGATCCCCCTTAAGAGCCTGTGATACCAGCTCAAGGACAGGCAGAGCTTGGTGAAACGGGAGCAGTGAGGGAACCGCATGCTTGCAAGAAATAGATCTAAGTCACCTTTTAAAGGAGCAAGAGGGCTGTGTTTGGAAGGGGGGAAAAGCGTGACATGAATCCTCTTTCACTGTTCGAGTTTCAAGAGTTGCTTATTTTGACACACTGAAGCTGCATTTGTCTAACAGCTCTGSTAATTTAGCAACAGCCTTGACTGACTCCTCAATTAGGATTTATCTGAGTTAAGAGCTTATTATGCACTTCATCCAAAAAGAAAAAAAAAAAAGAAAAAAGAAAAAAAGGAAAACATACCGGTTCTCTGTCTTTTTTCAAAAACTTGATGGCTAGGCGTTTAAATGGCACTTGACTTTCTGCCCAAGAGCTAAAAGCTTTTTTGGTTGGAAGAACTGCTGATACCTGCAAAATTTTTGACTCAACCGTTGCTAGTGCTGATCTATTGCTGCCTCTGTAATTACAGCAAATCCTTGCGGGAGGAGCCCCGTGCGCCGGCGGGAGACGCGGGACTGCAGAGGCATTAGGAGCAGGGAATGGTGCTCGCCATAACGAAGCTCCCCCAGGGCTCATTCTTAAAGCACGGACGTGAAGGCCATGCAGGAAACAGGGCAATGCACCCAATCTGGTGGACCTGCCTATGGAGTAAAGCAATGTTAGTGGAGACAGCACCACTGCCTGCAGAGCAGACTTGTTTCATGAAGAGGACCCAAGCGCAGATCTAAACGTTCCTGTCAGCACGTATGGAGGTGCTGGATGACTTTGGCTGCTGCAATCTGCAAGGCTCTCAGTCTCTGAGACTCTAAGCTCTTCAGCACAAGGACCGTCTCACTAAGCCTCTACACAGCTCTGAACACAAGGTCACTGCCAGGGTTTGCCAGGGTCTCCAGGTGCTGGGATGACTGGCACAAGCTGCTGCAGGAAGGCCATGGTGCTCCAGGGCTATCAGAGGCTGAGGGTTCAGGTCTGTCCTTTCCGCGGGTTCYTCCTCAGCATCTCCTCTCTGCTCTTCCTCCCACTTTCTTTCCACCCCCAGATCTTGCCTGGGAATAACATAAGACTCAATCAATGACCACAGATACCAGGAAGACAATTGCACAAGTTCATAATGYGACTCATACACACGTTCTCCAAAACTGGATTCCCTAAAACTGACCAGTATGTGCTCACACAATGCAAGGATGGATCCCTAGATAGACTTGAGGTGAACTAAGAGAAATATAGCACATAAAGATCAAGGAAGAGCTTGAGACATGAACCAAACTGAATAGAGGATCCAATAAATCCAGTTTTCTTGAAAACCAAGAGGACACTTATGTTAGGAGGGGAGTGAGAGCTTGCAACAAGTCTTAAACTCTGTGGCCAGCAGTGGCTGAGTGATAACACAAAGTCGCAGGAGATGGTGGTGCCCTCAGGGCTTCTGGGCCAGGTGAAACAAAGCTACGGGCTGCAAACATTACTGCAAGCCAAGCAGCAGCCTAGACAGCAGCCTCCCTGGACCTTTAAAGCAGCAACAGCGTGATAACGGTGTATCGATACCAGCAGGAGACACTAAGAACTATTCCTAGACAAACAAGCGCTGCCGAGATGACTGTACCACCGAGGCAATCAACAGTGACTCAGGCCCAACAGCGGCTGGTTTAACAGGGAACGTGGGGGAGAAAACCCAGTCTCGTGAGTGGTCAAGGCTCGGCGCCACCGCTTCCATCCTCCAGCACAACAGGCCATTCTGGTCACAACTATCACCGAGCAGTCCTCTTGCCTCTTCCCCGCGTTTCCCCACGCTGCTGAGATGAAGTCTTGSGTGTGCTTCCCTCAGGATAATAGAAATGTTCCCCTCCGGGCACACCAAGCGGCTGGGAAGCATCTCCTGGCTCCACGGGTGGACTTGGTGCTGGAGGCAGCAGTCGAGCCACCCTTTCAGGTTTGCCAAAGCCGCTTGCATTGCTCTGTGAGCATCCAAAACCTGGGTCAGGTGCCTTCAGCTGGAGTTTAAGCTCTTCAGCTTCACAGGGACGTGCAGCTCCTGACACAACGGAGCTACTAATGCTGAGAGCCGTCTGCAGCAGACCAGGACAACAAAACCCTTCCCAAAAGAGCAACCAAAAGAAAGCTACCTGGAATGTGCTGCTGAAGCCGATTAAATAATATTAAATATTTTTAGTGCTGCAATAGCACAACAATAAACTACAAAGCAATGGGAACCATCCTTTAGGCGTGTCATGGAAACCAATTATTTCCACAGAGGAATAAAAATCAGGCAAACGCGGGGTGGGGGAGAACGGCTTCCATGGCCCGCATAGATTTACAGATGGGATTTTAACAAGTTTATGATTATGCCAACAGATAATGAAAGATTTAAGACCTAAAATAGTTTCACGGCATCCATATAAAAGGCAAGCCGATGCTAAGCATCAATGTTATTTCAAAGACTAATGCAGCCGGGCTTTTTTATTGAATTTTTCACTACCTAGTTAAGTCTTTTACAGTGATAAATACATCAACAAAAGACCAACGGCTGAAACCCTCCCCTTGTGTTTTTTTTAAAGCCAGCATCATAAAATAGGCCATAAAGCTCCACCAGGCAGCTCCAAAGCTGGGCTGAGTTGCACGGAAGGACAAACTCCGCGTGTCCCRAGGGTTTCCTTCTGCCCGCAGCGTGGTGCAGGAGTTAGGCCAGGCCTTCCCACGCAAGGGAACTGTGCGAGGGGCACCGCTGAGGGGAGAGATGGGGAAGAGAAGGGGAGAAGAAGTAATGAGACTTCTTCTCCATGGAAAGAGACAGTCCCTCCAAGAGAGGGTCTTGCAAAGAACCCACAAAGAACGATCGGGAGCCGGGACTAAAACGGGCCCCTCAAGATACCAACAGAGCGTTACTACCACCCTCCTCTCCTCTTCTGCTCGACAGCAGTGGATAGGAATCACAAGTGACTTTAAACCATCTTTTCCTGGAAGTCCACAGATGTTTAAACGCTCCGGAGAGAAGCTTCTTGCCTCAGGAAGCCCCCAACACTAACGAAGCAGAGTAAGGCTACGAGCCACGCACTGCTTTCTTCTCTTACCAACATACTGGCCTAAGTTATTTTTGGTGACAATTTATACATATATTGAGGACAATACAGCAGTGCTMTGCCCTACCTTCCACAAAGATAAGTGGAATTGCAGGGAGACAAACAGGGTATTTATATGAAGGCATGAAATACGGAAGAGAAAAATGCCAMAACATGAAAGTCGGCCAAAAATCAATTAGCTTGTCTTAAGAAGGATAATGTTAAAAATCAGTCCAACAAACTAAATCCCCTTTACTTCCAGGAAAGCAGTTAAGTTGTGTGGGCAAAATAAAATATCCCAATAAAGTTGCTCTTCAATTACCTGAGGGGGCTCATTTCTCTTTTTTTAAGCAGAAGACTTAGCAGCTCAACGGGCGGGTTCTTCCGCAGCACGCGCCGTGTTTAATGGGTAAATCCGGCACGCAGGATGGGAGGCTGCACACAGCTCACGGAGCCGCGGGCAGGAGCGAGACGCCGAGACGGCTCCGCGGGGCACGGCGGGAAGGAGCCCACGCGGCTGCCGGCCCCTGCAACAGCTCTTCTGCTTACAACTCCCAGCACTTTAAAGCCTCGCGTTGGCAAATTTCTCAAATCAGACTTATTTTGGCTTGCACGTAGCCCGAGGCACTAAGAGCGCGTTTTGCAAAAGCCGGAAGGTCTCTGGAGGCCCCGGGAAAGCTGCTCCCMGGGTTTTGGTGGCCCGGTGGCACGGGACGGGCTCAGTGCTGCGACAGGGTTTGCAGGCGCTGCGCTTTCTGAACAGGGCTCAATCCTTCTATAAACAAATAGKAGGCTTTTTTAAAGCAAATAAAGCTGGCAAGAGAGCTTGCAAACCTTACAGTCCTTGCACCATCCAGTGATTTAAGAAACACACAGGGATAACCAAAATTAACCACTACTAAAGCCCGCTTATGTTCTTTCTTGAGGGAAACACAAAAAACTATCCTAAATTGTCTTTAGAAAAGCAGCCAGGATATCCTCAATCCAGTTTTCAGCGACTTTCCTTGAAGCTGTGCCACTGCTGAGCTTAAATTCTTATGCTGTGAAGAAAATAAAAAGCACCACGCACAAAGTGGTTTATATTAAGAGCATTTGGAGAAAAAGTATCCAGAGGGGAAATAATGCTCTCCTTGGCACCCCTGGCAACAGCTGGAATGATTCAGCAGTGACAAAACAAGGCAAATGGTTCAAACCCTGCGGTGATACCTGTCTCAAAACACAAGCCTAGATCTGCCTCGATTAGTAGCTGGGTTGGTCACTCGCAGCCGTAAGGCAGCAGGGAGGTCCAGTCCTACCGCCTGTTGTCTCCTGCATCTTCACCAACGCCACAGAGATGCTGAGAGTGGTGGTACTGTTAGAGCATCCGGGCTTGCTGCAGCATCGTGGTCCTTCAGCAGCAGCACAGRACGTGCAGAGCAGCTCCTGGCAGGCCCGGTGCCCGCAGCCGCTGCGGCACCGCGCACATCTGCATCGTGTGCAGCGCGTGGCGAGGAGAGCCAGGCGCTGTCTAGACAGCACAGCTGGGCTCTTAYGGGCAGAAGGA